CTTCAGCATTAGACACAAAGTGAAGAATCGATTTATTATTGTAACGATAAACATTCCAAATAAAATGATTACTGTGTGAATATAAACTTATTATTCTATGGATGTAATCTGATTACTGTGTGGATGTAATCTGATTACTGTGTGAATGTAATCTGATTACTGTGGACGTTTAATCTGGCTCCAGGGGTCTGTTCAACCCAAAGTTTCCCGCAAATACCAAAGAAGATCCAGATGGAGAGAGACGTCAGTGGTAAGAAAAAGACTGAAAGAAAGAAAAAGAAAAGCAGAGAAAGAAAATGATTGACATCCTCTCTGTGGTTAAGGCGGAGCAGAAGTCTGGATGGTGATCAGCCAATCAGACAGCAGAGGAGGAGGAGGTGAGGGGCGTGTCTCATGTTTTTATGATAATGTTTAATTTTTTTTTTTTTTTTTTAAACAAAGTCGTTGAAACATCTTTAACTCACAGGTCTCGTTCCCGTGGCAACACGAGCAGTGGCAGTGAATCAGAGACGATAAGGAGTAACGAGCGGCGGCGCCGGAGAAAGAATCGGTAATAAAATCACTTCCTGTTTTCAGTGAGCAGTCACCACGGCAACCAGACACCTGCCTACAATGAGCCGCGCCAGATGTATTAGGCTAATGGGAACCACCAATGCTTATTTGTTAGTCTCATGGTTTTACTAAATGATACCGCGAGGCTAATGCTAACAACTGAGCCACATTATAACAATGGCAATGATAGCTAATGCTAATGCTAATTCTCTATGTTCTTTGTAGACAGAGTCCTGATGTCGTCATATGGCAACACATCCAGTAAGTGTGTGTGTGTGTGTGTGTGTGTGTGGACATTCTTGCTAAGATGCTAAGCTAAGTTATTTTGGCTCTGAATGATTCGAAGATTCAGTTTATGGACAAGAACGACTGTATCTGCTGCTCCCCCTACAGGAGACTCTGTAGAACTGCACATGAAATGTACATTCTGTGTGTGTGTGTGTGTGTGTGTGTGTGTGTGTGTGTGTGAACAGGAAACAGCTGGTGGATCCCAACACTCTCCCCAACAGACAGTCAGAGGAAATACCTTATATGGAAGTGAGGTAAAGATAGAGTGAGGGAAAGAGGGAAAGAGGAAGAGAAAGAAGGAGGTAATTATGGAACCTTGTGTCTTACAGAGTGTCAGGAGAACCAATCAGAGTGCGTCATTCTCCAAGGAGGCGGCGACATCGTCGCTGTACATCAGCGTCAGACTTCCTGTAGGTGACAGTCAAGTGTTCCGATCAGTGATGTCATCAATCAGTGAAAATCATTTGCTGATCGTTGTTTTTCTTTTAGTTCAAAGACGGAGCTGGTTCCGCCTCTTCCTGTCACCAAGACAACGGGCACTCTCTGCCAATTACCCATAAGTCCCTGAGGCTGCGGCCAATTTGTTTTCCAAGAACAGTTCATCTATTTGTCTCCATATAAAATATGTAATATGCTTCTGTAACATGAAGGTTTTTATTGTCATCTTCTCGTCATAAAATGATTTCATTGAGTACTGACAGCAGTTTTTACTGTAT